TTAAATGCACAGCACAGCAACTGGAGCCTCCAACAGCAGCCAAAGCAACTTAATCCATCAGCAACTGGCTCATAACAAATGGCGCTTTTCCACTGCTTTATAACAAGCTTTATAATGGCAGTGGTTGTGTGTTTCTGTTCAACAGTCCAAAACAAGTGCAATAAAGCGCGCGCATCCATAATAAAACATGCTCCACACGGCTCTGGGGGGAGAATAAAGGTGTCCTGTAGCGCAATTGATGCATTTGTGTAAGAAAAATATCCATATTTAAAACTTTATAAACCGTCATCTCTAGCTCCCGCTAACTGTCGTACGCGCGTTCACGAGAGAGTGGTGTTCCAGTGGGTGATGTAGGCGTAGCGTAAGCATATATAAGGATGGATGGACCGACTTTATTTTGCTTTATTTGACCACCATTCACTGCCATTATAAAGCTTGGAAGAGCCAGGACATTTTTTCATATAATGAAAGATGAAAATCATATACACTTAGGATGGCTTGAGGGTGAGTAAATAATTTTCATTTTTGTGTGAACTATCCCTTTAAAATAAAAACAACAAATGAAAAATATATATAAATCTATTAATAAAAAATAAACTTAATTGCGAAACTTAATTTTTAGTGAACTATCTCTTGAATCGAACACACATGGCAGTGTAAATAAGTGTGTGTGTGTGTGTGTGTTTTGCTGTCAGGGCTGCTGGTGCTGAAGGATTTGGGCATTCAGGTGGGGCAGTACGTGGCGTCAGAGGTGTGTGAGGACTCCATCACGGTGGGGATGGTGCGACACGAGGGAATAATCAATTATGTGGGAGACGTCAGAAACGTCACACGCAAGAATGTGAGCCTGTGTCTTTCTCTCTGTCCCTCAGTGTCTTTTCTCTTGGACACACTTCTGATGTCTCTCTCTGTTTGCATCACATGTTTCCCTGCAGATTCAGCAGTGGGGGCCCTTTGATCTCGTGATCGGTGGAAGCCCCTGTAACGATCTGTCTATCGTCAACCCTGCCAGGAAAGGCCTGTACGGTACGACACTCACTCTCCAGCAGCAAAAACCATAAATTATGTGTGCATATTGATGCAGTTGTTGTAGGGCTGCACGATTAATCGAATACGATTGTCATGCGCATCTCATCAGTAAAGCCGGTTCTGTAATCAGTAGTAAATCTCCATCACATGCTTTCAGATGGAGCAGCATTTACTACACAGAGCCGTAGTTCACTGAAAAGCTACGCAAAATCGCGTTCATAATCGCAGACGATTTAATCGCGCGATTATGAAATCAGAGAAATCGTTCTGCGATTATGAAATCTGTTTGCGTAGCTTCTCAGTGAACTACGGCTCTGTGTAGTAAATGCTGCTCCATCTGAAAGCACGTGAAAATACCACATTTAATAACATGTTTTTACTCCAAATTCACTTCATATCGTCAGTTGAGTGTTTGAAGTAAATCAGATAAGTAAATGAGATGATGTGGCTTCTTACACAGAATAAGGCACGCAACATATTTCATAGTATTCTAAGCAGTGATAAAGGCTGTCGATTAGCATTGCATTATTATATACTTTATTATAATAAAACGAACTCAGATAAATCATATATTGTCCTAGTCGTGTGTTTATTAGTCACGTTGACTCAATGAAAGCAGTTAAATCTTCTGTTTATTCAGCAACCGCTATAGGGATTGCTATAGGGATTTCCTGGGTTTCTTCTGCGAGGCGTATTTGGAGTTTCAGCATGAGAGCGCCCTCTGGCCTTCGGATGGAGATTTACTGCTGATCACAGAACTGTGCTTCACTGAAAGATACGCATGACAATCGCAGCTTCTGCCTAATCACGATTTATCACCTTTGCAATTTCATTTCGATTAATCGTGCAGCCCTAATTTGTTGTAATAAGTGTTTTTTCTTGTGTGCAGAGGGCACCGGGCGTCTGTTCTTTGAGTTCTACCGGCTGCTTCACGAAACGCTACCCAAAGAAGGAGAGGAACGACCGTTTTTCTGGCTGTTTGAAAATGTTGTCGCCATGGGAGTCAGTGACAAGAGAGACATCTCACGCTTTCTGGAGGTGTGTACACACACAAGACAAACACACCCTCACATGCACAGAGTGAATCATGTGTGCAACTATCAGCGCTGCCCTCTTGTGGTTGGACATGTAACATGTACATTGTGCACAAACTGTATGTGGACACTAAAAAATGTCTGAATTCCACTAAAATCTGACAAACACAAAGTTATTTTCTTCATTTTCAACACAACATCTATTGTTTTATCATTTAAAACCAAGCTTTTTTGTGAAATGTTTTGCTTTCTGTAGCATAAATGACACTTGGATTAGAATTGTATCTAATGCAACTGATATTGATATTTATTTTATTAGGTGTATTTTAACTTTTCATCAACTCACTTTAATTTTGTATTTATTATATTTATTTAAAATATAATAAATATTTAATTATTATACCGTATGTAAATATAATATTTATTTGTTTATTCATTTTGTCAGTTAACAAAAAGGTTTTTAATTTTTTTTATGTTAGTATTATTTTTAGTGTTTTATCTAATGCAGTGACATTCAGGCAGTGTCTAAATACATTTTAGAGTCACTGCACACTGCATATATAACACACACACACACACACACACACACACACATACTATCCTTTAAAAGTTAGAGATCAGTCAAATTGATTTTTCAAAGAAATTAATACTTTTATTCAGCAACAATGCATTAATTGATCAAAGGTGAAAGTAAAGACATTTATAATGTTACACGAGATTTCTATTTCAAATAAATGCTGTTCCTTTGAATTTTCTATTCATCAAAGAATCCTGAAAAAAATTTATCACGGTTTCCGCAAAAATATCATTGAAATATTATAACTGTTTATTAACATTGATAATAATAATAAATATATAATAGATGTTTCGTGTTCATCAAAAAAATTCAGCTTTGCATCACAGGAATTAATTACATTTTAAAATATATTCAAATAGAAAACAATTCTTTTCAATTGTAATCATATTTCACAATATTTACTGTATTTTTGATTAAATAAATGCAGCCTTGATAAGCATAAGAGACTTCTTTCAAAAACATTACAAAATCTTGGCTAAACTTGACTTTGTTCTGCATTATAATGGTTAATATAATGGGTCTGTCTGTGTTCAGTGTAATCCAGTAATGATTGATGCTAAGGAGGTGTCTGCTGCACACAGAGCTCGATACTTCTGGGGAAACTTACCTGGAATGAACCGGTACGACTGCTGGAAAATCTGCTATTTGAGTGAGATCAGATGTTATCGTTTGAGTTACATGTGAAACAGGCATGAAGAGTGAACATCAGATTTGACCTCATCAGAAACAAACTCTCTCTCTGTCTTTCTCTCAGACCGCTGACTGCCATGGCAAATGATAAACTCCAGCTGCAAGACTGTCTGGAACATGGACGCACAGCTAAGGTGTGTGGCATCATTTTGGAGGTTTTGTTGTGCATGGAAAGTCTCATCAGTTTGAATTTTTCAGGATAGCTTGTCCTGATGTTTTGTTTGAAAGTTGTTGTTGACTACATCCAGACGTCATTTCCCATGAATTTTAATTTTTCAGTTCTATAAAGTGCGAACCATCACAACACGCTCAAACTCAATAAAACAGGGCAAAGACCAGCACTTCCCTGTCTACATGAACAATAAAGAGGATATCCTGTGGTGCACGGAGATGGAGAGGTGAGGGCCTTCTAGTATTATTTCATGCCAAATTCAAAAGGGAAAAAAGTATATTTTTCAGAAAATAAAGCATATTTCTGTTTGGAGATTTTCACAGCATGACAAATTATTTTCATTAAACTTATGCACATTTCTCCCAAATTCTCAATGCCATAAAGACAATTTGAATTCTAAAATATTTATAAACAATTAAATAATAAAATGATTAGCAATAAAAAAAAAGTAAAACCTACTAGATGAATTTTTTTTTATTTTTTTTTTATTTTATATTTTAATATTTGTTGATCTTTCTATTCATCAAATAATCATGCAAAAATAATTTAAATGTGTACAATTTTATAAGCAATTTTAGTATCATGATACTGTCATTTATTTGTTGGACTTTATAATAATAAAAGGTGCATTTTACAATAATCCAGTAAAAGAAAAAAAATACTGTATTACACTATCATTGAGCATAATGGGAAATATAAAATTAAATTTTAGTAGTATATTGAAATAATTAGTAGTTTAATAATAAAATTAATAATAATAGTTATAAAAAATGTAACCCAGATTTTTTTAAAGAAAACATGCTTAATCTATTATAATCTAATATATAATAATAATAATATAATTAAAAATCATAAACCTGTCACAATGCAAAACAAAAAATTTAATAGTCCTGAAAATAGGCTTTATTTTATTCGTTTTTTGTTGTTGTTGTTTTCTTTTGAATTCATGAGATTCAGCTGTATGTATTTATATGTAAGATCCACTGCTGTGTGTGTTACAGAGTTTTCGGCTTCCCCATCCATTACACAGACGTGTCCAACATGAGTCGTCTCGCCAGGCAAAGGCTTCTGGGAAGGTCGTGGAGCGTTCCTGTGATTCGCCACCTCTTCGCTCCACTGAAGGAATACTTTGCCTGTTACTGAAGCTCCGCCCACCTCACAACGTGATGGCATCGTGACTAGGTTTGGGCCGATAGACGATGTCATCGTTCATCACTGATCACTGACAGACATCACAATGTTGAGCCAGCATCGTGATTCACCCCCGTCTGCGTGCAGTCCAATTTTTGTAACCACACAGACGGTCCGCGTACAACAGCGCAAGCGCGAGGTGACTGTTGAGACAGAGAGAGTAAAGTAGGTGATACTGCTCATCCGTCCTCACTCATCAGCAGCTGAGCATACTATAAGAGAAGTATATTATGTAAGAGAAGTATAGTGAAGTATACCCGAGCCTTTAGTGGTCAGCTGCCCCCCCCATGTCATCGTCCATCTCAATGTTTCACTGTAGACATCGTCTGATGCCAATTTGGTAGACATCGCCCAACCCTAATCGAGACGTCCCTCCTCTTCCTTTCCTGCATATCTAATAAGCTCCACCTTCTTGTGTTCTTCATTTTTGCTCATGGCCTATGAACAGCTGGTGCTATCCTACTATAATTATTCAACCCACTAAACAGCCACACTTCAGATATTTATTTGAAAACATAACTGGTTTCAGAGTTTAGATTTTTTTATTTTAGAATTTTTTTGTCATGTTCCAACTGTGACAACTCTTTCTCTCTCACAAAACTGACAGAGACTAAATGTGTGTGTGTTCGCAAGTGTATGTTTGTCCAAGCATGAAAATATAGAGCACAAAGCGCTGGATAACAGGTGTGAAACAGAAGCAGACGCTGTTTAAATACTCGAAGCAGGCGAATCCCGTCCCTCGACCCTAAAACTTATGTTATGCCATGAACTAACCAGGTATGATATGGAAACATTCAAGAATCAAGTCATTTTTCTGTTCTCAATGAACCCGAAATGCTGTGGTGAAGAGTTAAAATCATCAAATCATGTTTGATGTTTAATGTACAAAGAATCTCAAAGAAAATATGTCTAGGCCATATTTTACTCTGATATCAAAAGTAAAACAAAATGTTTTTTTTGCATTATTTTCATGACAATTAAGTGCATTTACCCAATAAAATGACATTATTGTAATGTGAAATTTATTTTTTTTTTTTTGCATT